GAAAGAATAACGAAGACATAAGAAAGAAAGAGGCATAAATAATAAAGATGAAAGCGGAGAAGAAAGACGAACTAATATAAAATACAGAATAAAGCATATATAATACAGAGAAGAAGAAGAAGGAAGAAGAAGAGGAGGAGGAAGAAGAAACAAGAAGAAACAAGAAGGGTCTTAAGATGTCTTAAGGTCCAAAGAAACACGATAAGACATATCGGACAAGACAGAGAATAAACCTGCAGGTGATTTGTGAACCTGAGTCTCGAGGTCAACTGAGTCAACTCTTGATCCAAACATGTGCCACGGTAATGTATACAATACAACAGACTTATACCAACCTCCAAACCAATTTTGCTGTATGTCATACACCACTTCAACAGGTTGGCAGACAAATCCTACCAGTAGAAACAATGAGTGCATGCATTTGCTAGTTGCACTAGATGTGGATCTTTGTATCTCCATGTATTGCCAAGGTGCATTCTTACGCAAAGCTTTTTGCACTGATAGCCTGATAGCACAGTTGATGTCACAAAACTACTGCGATCAGCCACCAATGCCTTGAGCCCAAAGTACGCCATGCCATGACGAGAAATGGCTGCACGGCCAAAGGCACGGTTTTCTTTGGAAAACCACAACACTTTTTGTGACGGGAAGATTCGTAAGATCAAGCGGATTTAAAATCATAGAAACTTATGTAAACATACTTCACGAATTGACATTAGAATCAAAAGCTAGTAGAAACAAGTGCCACGCTAGTAGTAACAGGTGCCTTACTAGTAGTAACAAGAAGCTATTAGAAGACTTCTTACAGTCCTTTGTCGTTCATCGGCTTGAATCGGTGCAGGAGCGGCTGAAGCGCGCCTGCGAGGAGCCACCAGAGCCACCGGCAGTACCGCAGCTTCCAAGGCCACAAAGCGCCCATCGTCAAGCGCGGAAGCAGGTGCCAAGAACCGTGCGTGACGCATGGGACGCGGTACGTAGAGGTTTTCGGATTCTCCCGAAATGCACCTGTTACTACTAGCGTGGCACTTGTTCCTAATAGCTTCTTGTTACTACTAGTAAGGCACCTGTTACTACTAGCGTTGTTCCCAAAATGAACTAGTGTGAGAAATCCGAGATGTGGAGAGTGTGAGAAGGTATTCTGACTTCACTCTTTCTTGGCACCCAGTGGAGCTTAGGGCAAACCGCTCAAGGATGAGAGGAGGAGATGCGCATGATGCTTTGGTGAGTGGTGCAAGGTTTTTACCTTCGTGAGTGGGCATATAGACTCGGTACTTGATGTTGTTGTTTGAGTTCGCATGCCAAAGTTCCAATGTTGCTTTCCACCTACTGCTGCAGTAGCCCCTCAAATCACTTTTTTCCTCGTAACTTGCTCGTTTGTTGGCATGGCCAGCTCCCTTTCCCTGTTTGTTTCTCTCGATTCCTTCGACATCCCACAGCAAATGCACCTGTATGTTTACATTCCGAAGGGAGCAGAGGAATTGTCGCCGAAGTGCAGTGCAGGAGCAGCAGACGCTGCACCAACCAGCATTGCCCCGGAAGGCTTGCCTATGTGAGACGCTGAAAAAAACTGTTGAGATTTGTTCAGCTGTTGCTTTTTGGTGCAATTTCAGGCAGGACGAGCTACAAAAAGCAAAATGACATCAGAAATAAAACCACAGAGGTTTTTCATTTCCTTTCATTTTCTGTTTCCATCATGCTAACGTCAGGTGCGACCTCCGCAGCTGGCGTCGGCGCGGCCCGTGCTCAAGCCTTCGTCGGAGACGCAGTTGGCACCGTTGCTGCACCCGGCATCCGTCGTGGCAGCATCGCGGCTGATGCAAGAGGAGCGCAAAGAAGAAAAACGACAGAAGGAATTATGTTTGCAAGTACCGAAGGAAAGCACATGATTAGGAGCATAATTAGGATCTTATTTCGGTCATAAAGGCTGAAGGAATCCACAAATGCACAAACCCGACCCCAAGCGGGTCATGAGGCAGCAGTGCCATGTTTGTATCCAGGCCTACACTTCCGACACCGACCTTGGCGAGACTACTGACGAGGCGTGCGTTGCTCGAGTTGGAGACGTTCAGCATTTTTGCCCTCCCCTTTCCGTCCTTCTTGGACCTTTCCTTCATTTCTGAAGTCGTCTTCCGTTCTTTGCACTAAGTCTCTTCATCTTAAGATGCCCAAGTCATTGGACGTTTTGATGAAAGGCAGAAAAGAAGGGAGAGAAGAAAGAACAGAAAAGAAAGCTTTTGATATTTTGAACACGTTTTTGTTTAGGAAGAGATCCAGAGATGGTCTCCACCCTCCAGCGCCTCAGAGGGCTCAGACGGCCTTGTGGCATCTGCCTGGCGTGCAGTGTGCGGGAGTCAGTCGGAGTAGGTCAAAGATGTCAGCTTTGTTTCGAGGTGTCTATTCAGATCTTCTTTTTTTGAGTTTTTTAGAGTTCCTTCATTGTATCACAGTATGTATTTCGCTTTCTTCGCATGTGTTTTTCACTTGGCATATATATATATATGGGTCTTTCAAAATCCATTCGATTGGGTCCTAGGTTGCTTTGGGGGGTTGCAGCATTTGCAGGTCTCGGCTTGCAAATTGGCTCACGCCTGCACCGCTGGAGCGCTTTTGGGGAAAGGTCCATTGCCAGTCCCGACCTGAGCAATTGTCCGACGATATCATTGTTCATTGTTACGAGTTTACCTAAGGCAACCTAGCCTTCCCAAGATAAATTAACAACATGCATGTTTTTTGCATCTAACAAATGCATGTTTTAAATATTTAAGGCCGTTTATTCTTTTTTTAACAGTGTGTCATCGAGAATGTCCACAGGCTCAATGACATCATGAAACATGAACCAAACGCGTTTGGTTTGCCCCAAAAAATAGACACCAGACAAGACACAGACCAAAAACACTTACCTACCAGGTACCATAGCCTGATCCGAACCCGTCATCCACTCCACCAGGACCAAAACCAAGAACTCACCAGACGCCAGCCACCAGGACAGGACCTAGACTCTAGACTAGACTACACCAGGACCACTCACCCCAGACCCTGCCCCAAACCAACGCGCATTTTTTTGGGGCACGGGCATGAAAAACCACGTTCAACAAACACATGCATTTGCATGCATTATACAGTGTAAAATGCATGTTTTTTGCTGGGCGTTTTTTGAAAACCAATATGTATTTCACACTGCAAAATGTTTGTTTGTTTTTTTTCAAGCAACTGGAGTTTGATTTTCAAGAAAACATGCATGTTTTATGTATTTATTTATATATATTTTTGAAACCACTTGGTGCTGGTCCATAAGTCCAGAATGCAAGTGAGTTTGAAACAGGAGCGGCTATCGGCTATGGCTACGGCCGGCTTAGCTAGCTGGCTAGCTAGCTATTGCCCTCACCTGCCCAACACCACACCGCCCAAAGCAATCAGGAGCAGGAATCTCCTGACGCTAAGTCATGGTAAGACACCCTCTAGCACCTGCGCCTACACATACACACTAGATCAAAGCACCATTTCAACATGCATTTTCCAACGTGCATTTTGGTAAACCTGACGTGCATTTTCCTCCAATGAGAAGTTGCCTCAGGGTAAACTCATAAGTTTATTGCTTTTATATTAATCTTACTGAAATCTTTGTGGATTATATATGATTGTATAGTTTTGTTTCTCCTTGTATAGATTCTTTGTCATCAGACTTTTTTGAGACATTCTCAAACATCCAGGATGCTTCCAGAAGTTTGCTGCTCACCACCTCTTCAACCGCCTGATGAGGCGGTGTCACTGTTCAACCGTTCAATGCACGTTGGTAAATGGTTGATACTGCTTGTGGTTCTCAAGAGTGAACTTGTGTTTTGTGGTTTTGCTTGGGCTTTGTATCTCTTGTCTTGCCAAAAGTCATCGGAGCGCTTCACAGGCTAAGACCTCCATAACAGTGGCGCGTGCTGATGTGAAAAAGGACAGCAGGAGTTAAACACATGAGAGAACATACAAAGACAAAGCCAAGCCAAGAGAAAAAGCAAGAGCTCAAATAGTTGCTGCAAGTGGTTTTGACTCTGAACCAACAATTTCACCCACTCTTTTATGTCGAGGCAGTGGAAGAGTCCCAGCGAAAGGGATTGGAGAGTGAGTATGGAATGAAGGCATTCAGGCAAGCGAAGAACAGAGAGAGCAAACAGGGAAGAACTTAGACACCTGTCATTTTCAGTGGAACGAAAAGCCTTCAAACGCCTGTCATTTTAGGCTGACTGGCAGGAAGCTCTGGGCAATCTTAGTCATGGTGTGCTCATTTGTGCAACTGACACCGCAGGCTGTCAGCGAGAGATTGTACCATTTTGCAGAATGGAACTTGCTTTTACATCTTCCAGAAGGCATTCCGAGTCGTTCGATGTGTTTTGACCGGTCTGCAAAGTGGACCGAGACAAGAAGAACGGGGAACTGAACTGAAACGAGTTTCGGCTGTTCAAATGCTTGGAGAAAAGAGGAAATCCAATATGCATCGACCCTAAGTCTGTTCCTCAGCTGGCGTGCACTTGTACCTCTGCTTGTACATCATAGACTCATTGCCTGTGCACTGCATTCCTTTTTGCATTCAGGGCTGCAACAGTCAAACCGGTGTGTCCAACTTGCGCTGCAAGCAATGCAGGCTTGCAAGCGCTGTGAGAATCTGTTCGTCTCGCACATTTCCTTTGCCATCCACTGCCAGAGGCCCTGATAGCAGTGACTTTTGCAGAGATCTAGCAGAACGCACAACATCGCTTATAGGAGCAAGGAAGCTATTAGGGGCTCCTGGCATCGCTACTAGGAGCAAGGACGCTACTAGGGCTCCTGGCCTTACTACCAGGAGCAAAGAAGCTACTAGGAGCAAGACACGTGTCGAGATGACCATGAGACATCAGACGAGCAGCCGACATCATCCTTCGTGTTGGAAGTTGTGAGCACTTTGCCATTTGACCCGAAAAGGCAGCAAGAAGCTGCTTTAAAGCAACGCCCAAAGCGGCTAAGCAGGATCTGCAATGGCTGATCAAACAGTGCTGAAGGCTTTTAAGCGCTTTGACAAAGACGGGTCGGGATCAATCACACGAGAAGAGCTCGGTCAGGCCAGGGGCGAGAGCTGCGGTGGCGGTGGTAGGAGTGGAAGGAACCTGAAAGCTGAAAGCCAAGAACATCGTCGTGACAAGCGGATCAGAAAAAGCGAAGCTGCACTTTCACCATATTCTCCCCTTTGAGTAGCTCAGTTTGGCGTTTTTGCCCGGAATGCTTTTCATCGGAAAGATATGGAAGTTTGTTTTCAACTTAGGGGAGCATCGCTTATAGGAGCAAGGCCGCTATTAGGGGCTCCTGGCATCGCTACTAGGAGCAAGGACGCTACTTGGGGCTCCTGGCCTTACTACCAGGAGCAAAGAAGCTATTAGCTTATTGTTTCTAATAGCTTTTTTGTTACTACTAGTAAGGCACTTGTTACTACTAGCGTGGCACCTGTTACTACTAGGATCTTTCAAAGTGGAGTCTTCAGGTGTTGAAGGAACTGAAAAGCTCCGAATGGGATGATGACTCCATTGATGAGTTGCTGGCAGCTGCTGATTCCAGTGGTGACGGGCAGTTGCAGGTTGAGGACAGCAGAAAGTACACATGCCACATGCCTGGCATGCCTTAGAATCGTTTCAATGAGAGCAGATGACAGTAGTCACTAATCCGTGGGGGGAACATTGCCAGGGGGTGCCGACATTCTTATGTGTTTATGTCATCCGTTGCCACTTGCTTCTTCAGGAGTTCGTGAAATGGGTCTTTGCTGAAGAACAGACCATCTCCTCCGGTACGACAGGAAAGTTCAAGTTGCGAGTTTCAGGCTGTTCAAGACCGGAGCTGAACGGTGACTATGTGCAACAGAAGGAGTTCTACTACCGCAGGCCAATATTCCATTGTCTTGAGAATGAGCGCTACCTGTTCTACCATGGCAAGAGGCACCCAGCTGCAGCCAGCATTTCTCATTTCAATGCCACCAAACGCGAAAAGAGAAGTGACAGTTGGAAACGACTGTTTCCATGGGGCGACATGTGTTGAACTCAGGCAGCAGTGGCAGATCTTCTCAAGCACAGGAACTACCGCTTCTGCTCGATTGAAAACCTTTCGGGCAGCTCACATGCCGGGTGACGGAGTAACCTGGGCTGTTTGGAAAACCAGCACAAAGAGCCTCTTGGCAACTTTATTTCGAGTGCAGTTTTTGTGCGAGTTGCATATCATCGCACAACATGTCAATTGATAAAGGCACAAACTGAGGGGATCAGAGTAAGCCACCTCAGGTCACAAGAAGAGCTTCATCAAAGAGTCTCGTATGAAATGTACCGCAGAGCCGAGTATGACAGCAGAAGAAGAGTTCGCCAAAGCTGCCGATGCAATCAAGTTTGATGAGATTTTCTTCAAGAAGACCGACCAGACTTTGGGCAACCGACCCGTTTACAAACAATGGAAAGGCGATGACTGGGCTGAGCGTTTCCTCTTCTATGAAGGACCAAAGAGTATGTGGAAGATTGGAAACTCAGCGGTCTTCGGGAGGCCCTCCTTGTACACCTCACGAACAACCGATGTGTATTCTCCAGATTTGGCCCTTTGGATGGACGAGGCTCGTGGTGGGAAGATTGCCGTGCTGGCAGTGGACACAGATGGAGTCCCCAATGGCATGCACGGTGGTTTGAAAATCCAAAAACGGATCAAAGATGGATGGAAAGATCCGGCCTTCCCCCACAACAATGACTCGGTTGGTGAAAAGGCGGCTAGCAAATGCAAGTACAGTCGATGGCTTAGATCCATGGCTCTACATCCTCATCCTGCTCTCTTTGCAGATGTAGAGCCTGCGGATGCATGCCAAGGCACTGTTGGCAACTGTTGGCTGATAGCGGCGATGTCCGCCTTGGCGGAATTCCCATCCTACATCAAGAACAATCTCTTTGTGACCAAGAAGGTCGCTTGGGGCGGTGAGAAGACAGATTTCCACAAGGCTTTAACAGGCGATCAGCAACTTGTTTTAGTAAGAGACGTGACAGGATGACATCCATGACAACCCTGCAAGGTTTCCAGGGACGGCAAGTACCAAGTGAAGCTCTATGATGGCCGTACCAAACGCTGGGAAATCATAGAAATTGATGACTACTTGCCATGCACGCCTTGGGGTGGAGACGAACCAGACCTACTCTTTGGAACAATCAAAGATGGAAAGATGTGTATGGCGCTACTTGAAAAAGCTTTCGCCAAGATGTACGGCAGCTGGTCTGACCTCACAGGTGGCTTTCAAGCCGTAGCTTGGTTCCACATGACCAGCTGCACAGAATTCATGTGTTACAGCGCATCTTACCGTGGATCGGCACCGAAGTGGGTGGTCACTGAAAGTGGCGGAATTCCGGTGTTTGCGGGACATTCCAAAGACAAAGCCAAGAAGCGTATAGGCCAACTTGGAGAAGGCGCGCAATTCTTGGAGAAGCAGAGGACCAAATTCTGACAAACATGGGAGATGTGCACATGGAGCACAGGTTTGCATCGGTTTTGTGCATGTGTTTTAAACTATACATGTAGATCGGATTGATGCGGCAGAACGCAACCGAATGCTTGAACAACGGGTGCAAGTGTGCAGTGAGGATTGGATCTTGGATGGAATTTGAGAAGCTCGAGGGCGAAGGAGCTGCATCTGGATGGATGCGATACTACGGGAATGGCCGGCGGCTGGCCAAGCGGACCGCCGCGAATGAGCTACGCATCATTGTCATTGATGCTGCCGTGGTGCCCGAACAGGCACGAAGGGAAGCGAAGCGAAAGGCTGCACATTTAGAGGGATGCATCATTTTTTAACGTTCTTTAAATATACAATTTGCAAATTGGTTTCAACTTTTGTCCCTCCGTAGGCTCATGATGAGAGTAGTTGGACCACAGTGTGTGTATTACGCCGCGGTAAGCATCTTCATTTTGCTTGTCACGGTGCTCCATGGTGTGTGGTGTGTGGTGTGTGGTGTGGGATGGGGATGTTAACGTTCACTGGAACCTGATCCCGCACTTGCAAAAATGACGCTCTACAGCTCAACATCATAGAATTCCGACAGGTTTCTATCAGCGTTTGTAAGAATCACGCGCGGAAAATTTATTGGCGTCTCTCCGGCATTGCAAAGCCAAAAACTGTTGTGGCCAACCCATGACGAGGCCACCAAACTGCAGTTGGAAGACTACATGGCGATTTTCTCTGATTGAACGGACGGTTGACTTGCCTCTATTCCTCCCACCCCTAGAGTTGTGCTTTTGTGATAAAAGAGGCCCTGAGACAAACCCGCAGATTCCTAGTTGACACCTGTATCGGCCGCTCGTGACCAAGGTCTGGTAGACCAGCTTGTTTCTCAGCTTGGCCCGTTTCTGATTCCCCATCCTGGTGCCTGCCTCGATCTTACTGGTTTCTAGAAACGTCGTTTGTCGTTTCCTGACATGGCGTTCTTTGGCTGCCACACCCTCGGGTTTACTGCCATTGATGACTCACATTATGTTATACAAGATGCTTTCGTCAAATAGCCCCGTGCAGCTGCAACTATGACGGATCCTTTGTACAAAGTGGCGAGTCAGCGGCGTGCGCTTGTCCCTTTGCGATACCAAATTCATTGGCCATTTGCACCGCTTGCTCCAATTGTCTGGATTTACTGCTGGGTGAGGCATACAGATTCGCAAGATCCAAACGTCGAAAGGCGAGTCCCCCAAACATTAAAATGAAAAGAGTCTGGATATTGCGCCATGCTGTCGCGTACCTACTGTGGGAAAAAAGTTTTTCTCGCGGCCCACTGCGACATCTTTCGTTCTGGTTGGTGTCGGGGTCACCGGCCTCAGTCGTGCGCCTCACCTTGTTGAGGCAGTCAGGCTGTGTGCAGTGCGTACTTAGTGCAGCTGGGCTAAGTGAATACACATCCTGCCCCGCTCGCTTGAGTATACATTGTTCATGGTCGCTCCAGACTGTTTTGGGCACCTTCCGAGTGTGTTGACCGTTTGACGACAAACTCAAGCGTCTTTTTGGGAGCCAAACAGCGCAGACAGAACCAGGCGATGGGAGCCATTTGCTCTGGAGGGGACAAGACAGCGGTCAGCAAAGCCTTCAATTACAAGTTCAAGCAGTATGTGGAGGTGGAGGAAATGTGGCAACGGCTCATGGACTATGACAAAGGAAATTACCTAATGGCATCTTCAGCTTCAAAGTCCCGAATTGAAAGAGATTCTGGGATGGTCCATGGTCATGCCTACAGCGTTCTGCACGCAGTCGAGATAGATGGCCTCAGGTTGGTTTGCTGCCGAAATCCATGGGGCAATGAATCCGAATGGAACGGACCTTGGAGTGACCGCAGCTCCGAATGGAAGGCCAATCCCAAGATCGCTGAAGCGTTGAACGTGGATTTCCAAACGGAGGGCAGCTTCTGGATGGATTTCGAGGATTGGCTGTATGTCATGGGACAGCTGAAGGTGATGATTTGTCAAATGCCATCGAGACGTGGTGACTTTCACAATCAGATCGTAGAAGAGGACGAGGAGGAGCAGGAGGATTCTGAAGAGGTAGATGTGGATGAGGAGCGGCCAGACCAGCTTCGGGTATTGGTGGTGACCAGAGGTGAAAGGCGGTGAAACGGTATTGATTTTTCCACTTGTTGGTGGCGACTAATGATGCTGAGGTAGATGAAGTCTGTTTGTCCAACCCCTGAGGATGAAGATGGAGGACAACCAGTGACTGGTTGCTCCGGATTGAGCGTTGATTGGCACCCTGCACGTTCTATGGAAGAGGGTATGGTCTTGTACCCAGAAAAAGATTATACTTTCCAGAATGTTCCTGGCGGGCTTCTAGGTGGCATCTATATTGGTAGCAATTGCTGGCCGAAGGCGGGCACCTGGACCATTCAATATCAAGCTCCAGCCAAGCTGTACGTGTGGGCAGCTCAAGGACAGTTCAATGGTGGAGTAGATGAAGCGCTCAGCGCAGACGGTTGGACAGCGGAAGCTGCCGAAGGCTTCTGCGGTGGTGCCCTTTCTTTGAATTTGTGGAGTAAGCAGTTTGACACGGGATCCACCTACAGCATTGAGATCACGGCGGACACCATGATCGGCGGTGTGATTGGCACATCTCCCTGTGCCCCATGCGTGCCAGCCAGACCTCCGACATCAAGTGCAGCAGTGACTGATTGCTCAGGGTTGGGCGTGGATTGGCGGCCTGCACAGATCCTGGAAGAGGGACTTCTGTTGTATCCAGAAAAAGGCTACAAATTCCAGAATGTGCCAGCCCCGCTTCTTGGTGGGACATACATTGGCAGCCACCTTTGGCCAATGGCTGGCACTTGGACCATTCAATACCAAGCTCCAGCCAAGATCTACGTGTGGGCCGCCAAGGGCGAGTACAACGGTGGAGTCGACGAGGCGCTGCGTGGCAACGGTTGGGTGGCGGAAGCTGCGGAGGGCTTTTCGGGTGGTGGACTCGACCTGAATTTGTGGAGCAGGCACTTCACGACAGGGTCCTCCTACAAGATTCAGACTACGGGTCTCATGTGTGGCGGAGTGGTGGGCACACCATTGAAGTGCAGTGGAAAAGTGACAGGTTGCTCAGGTCTGGGCGTTGGATGGAATCCGCCGAGAGGAATGGCAGAGGGCATCCTCATTTACACGGACAAAGACTATTCTTTCCAGAATATACCTGCCTGCTTGGCCAGTGGTACCTACATTGGCAGCCACTGTTGGCCCTCACCAGGCACGTGGACCATCGAGTACGATGCTCCTACCACCCTGTATGTGTGGGCTCAGCAAGGCAAATACGGTGGAGGAGTTGACGCGGTGCTCAAAGCTGATGGTTGGGTTTCAGAAGATGCAACTGACTTCAAGAATGTGGCGCTTGATTTGGACGGATTTGGTAGTGGACTTCCGCTGAATCTGTGGAGCAGGCATTTTGCCACCGGTTCCTCCTACAGCATCCGGACCAATGAGCTCATGATAGGTGGTGTGGTTTCTGAATGTAGTGACGTTTAAATGTTTCAGCCACAGATTTCACTCTTTGATACCATTGCTGAAAGTAATAGTGTCCGCTTTCGGAGATTCGGCTGGATTTCCGATGTTTCGCAACGAAAGAAATAGGACCGGCGTTCACAGGTGAGAGTCGTGGGCCACAGTTTGCAGCTAGAGTTCAACAACCTAACGAACACTTGCTCGGAAGTTTTCTGTGTAGCAGGCAGCTCCTGGCATTACTACTAGGAACAAGAAGCTACTAGGTGGAGGCCATCGCTACTAGTAACAAGAAGCTACTAGTAGCTTCTGGCATTACTACTTGTATGCATGTGTGGCCGGGAAAGGAAGACCCATGGGCGAGGCAAGGTGGACCACTCTGTGTAAATCTGAAGCCGTACGCTTTGCGACAAAAGATCTACTTTGTGTTTGCAGCAAGATCGACACAGTTAGTTGTCAGCTAAAGTGACAATTGTGTCATTTGTTGATTCGACCAAAAATGACCTGTTTTCGATCTACTTGCTTCCAGATCTGTCAGGTAATGTCGAATTGTTTATCGCCCTGAGTGTCCATGGTCGGCAATACTCGGCTTTTGATGCAAGACATGGGCTCAAGCTGCCAAAATGGCGGATAAGACCGTGCTGGATGCGTTCAATCGCTTTGACACTGACAGGTCTGGCTCTATCTCAAGGGATGAGCTGGGCGAGGCTGGGTTTCGGTGGGGTTGGTGCGTGTTATATAGACCGACCCAAAGTGTGCCAAAACACTCACAAGTGTTTCTTTCGAGTCCAGAACAGGTGCTGAAGACACTGGAAAGCTCTCAGTGGGATGACGCCTCCATTGACCAATTGCTGACAGCGGCAGATGCCAGTGGTGATGGTCAATTGCAAATTGAGGAGTGTGAGCAGCAACCGTTTGCGGCTTCTGATCATGACCTTCAGTTGGTGATTTCCGTTTTGTGTCAACAGTTGCAACACTGCAGAACATCACGAAAGGTAGCCCTTCAGGGGATACCTTGAGTTTGTCTTGCGAAGCAAGTGTTGGGACGTCCGGGTCTAATAATTGATCCCCCCCCCCCTCGAATTGATTTTTCAATACAGACCCCCCCCCCTCACCCCCCGCCCCCTTGGAATTGATTTTTCAATACAGACCCCCCCCTCCCCCCCTCTAAAATCAATTCTCTCCTGGAGAACGTCTTCGTGAGCCTCTCAGGATTTCAGGATAGTTGAAACCCTCTTAAACATTCAGAAAGAGTGAATATTGAATTCTAATCACGAAAGGTGTTCCCCGAGGGGATACATACCTAGAGTTTGTTTTGTGAAGGCACGTCAATTCTCTCCTGGGGAGCGTCTTCGTGAGCCTCTTATGGTTTCAGGATAGTTCAAATCCTATGATGTTCCGATTCAATGCTCACCGATGATCTGAGCCATGGGGCAAGTTTGTTTTCCTAAGAATCTTTTTGAACATTTCGAGAGCATATGTTTGAACACTTAGAGTGCATATGAACATATATTTACGAAAGGTCGCCTCCGAGGGGATAAATCACCATGTCGAACATTGCATTTTTGTTCCTGCCTCTCGCGTTCTCTTCTCTTCCCGCTGTCCTACCTTTCGTGTCTCCCTCCTCTCAAGTGAACAACAACTGCATTTGCTGCAATTCACTGTAGTGGAAAGGGATTTGTGTGGCCAAACTGTCTTAGTCTTGGAGGAGTTTGTGAAGTGGGTCTTCGCTGAAGAGCAGGCCATCTCAGCTGGTGCCAAAGGCAAGTTCAGGTTGCGAATTTCAGGCTGCTCAAGAACAGAGCTCAATGGTGACTATGTGCAACAGTCGGAGTTCTACTACCGCAGGCCAATATTCCATTGTATTGAGAATGAGCGCTACCTGTTCTACCATGGCAAGAGGCACTCAGCTGCACAAGAACTTCAAATTCACACACACGCACAGTCACATGCACACACACACACACACGCGAGATATTGTGCTTTCGATTTGATTACTCCAAGACCTGGACACACCTCAGTGTGAAAGAACGCCTAAGTAGTGCAAAGTTGTCCAACCGACTTCATGTTAGAAAAAGCTCCCAGGTTCCTGAAGGTGTCAGGGTTGCAACTCCAAGTTTCAATAGGCAAAGATGCAAATGACGACGGCATCTGCGAACTCCAAAACCTCACCAGCCTGAGATCTTCGGATGTGACGTGACTACAGTACTCAACATCACGAACAAGCAGGTACGTCGATCAAGCGTCCCGGATTGACTTCACAAGTGCAACACTGGCGTCGTGGCCCTGGCACCCCCTGCTTACTAAAAGACTGAAGCCAAAAGGCTCCCTATGACTCCAAGGCTTACACAACCACACTTAGACCCATAGCTCAAACGAATGAGCATCAAGTTCAGAAAGTGGTTCGCCGATGCACTAGACCTTTACCGCGATGCAGGAAACACCGGAGTGGAACAGCTTGTGCTCTACCTAGGTCCTCAAGAATCGCAATCCCCCTGCTAAGTGCATCATCTAAAGCAGTTCCAGGAAGTATGTAATCCTAGAGACGGAGTTGGACACACACACGCACACACACACACACACGAAGTCACCCAGTTCTTCAAACAAGAGTTTGTTCTCAAACGCTGCAAAAGCATGCTTAATCGCAACTTACCCAGAAGTACGCTGAACTTGTTTAGTAGTAACTTGATACTTGATGCTGATATTCACGGGCAGATAATGAACCGAGGATTGTGCGCTTGTGTAAAACAACTGAGTGGTTTCCAAGAGCAGCGCTTAAGTGGCATGTGTAAAGCTGAGGCAGCAGTGGCAGATCTTTTCCAGAACGGGAACCTATGCATCTGCACGCTTGAAAACCTTTCGGGCAGCTCACATGCCAGGAGATGGAATAACGTGGGCTGTTTGGAAGACAAGCAAGACAAGTAGCTCGGCAATAGACATTTTTTGTCTAAATTGTGGGTGTGCGCCCAGCCCACTGGCAGGTGGAATCTACTAATCTATTCACTCTCTTTGTGCGGCGGGGATTTGCCAACCTTGTGCAACATGACACTCATGTTGTGTCCAGCACAACTTATAGACTCATGGCAACAAAAACTTATGACTTGTGAGATCTTGAACAAAGTTTGTATGGCTTAACATTTGGGCAACGGACGCCCTGAAAAAAACAGACCATTTTCGGAATGTTGAACAATTGACCCCGGAACACTTTTTTTTTAGAACGCGGCAAGTAAAACACACAGTATAGAACGAGAAACAAACATACGGCCTAAGGCCTGGGTCAGTCCCAGTCCTGGCTTACTATGCTGTTTGCTATGCGGGGGACCTCCTTGAAAGCGGAGATGTCGTGTCCAGGTGGTCTGAGATTGTGGGTTTTCTGCCCAGAGTCTAGTGGCTTCAACAGTGTTTCCACCGCGCAAAACTATTGAAGAAACGGTTCAGCAGCAGCAGGAGGAGGAGCAGCAGGAGCAGCAGGAGCAGCAGGAGCAGCAGCAGCAGGAGCAGGAGCAGCAGGAGCAGGAGCAG